TTCTGAGGTGCCCTTCCAGAGGGTCAGGAGGGTCCTGGATAGGGTGAGGCTGGACTGCATCCAGAAGGTGTATGTGAACTGCACCTGGGACCTGCCCACCCTGGGGACACTTGCTCTCTACCTGGGTCAGATGAGTAACCTGCAGACACTCTTTCTCCTGGAAGAGTTGGCTGAGGAGGATGAGGAGGAAGAGGACGAAGAACAGGAGGAGGACGGAGAGGAAGAAGAACAACAGGAAGAGGAGCAGGAGTTGGAGGAAGAGGAGTTGGAGAGGGAAGAGCAGGAGGAAGGACTGCATCCAGAAGGTGTATGTGAACTGCACCTGGGACCTGCCCACCCTGGGGACGTTTGCTCTCTACCTGGGTCAGATGAGTAACCTGCAGAGACTCTATCTCCCCCACATCAATGTTTTGGCTGAGGAGGAAGAGGACGAAGAGCAGGAGGAGGAGCGGGAAAGGCAGGAGCAGGAGGAGCAGCGATCCTTTTCCCAATTCCTCTCTCAGATGCTCAGGCTACGGCACCTCTGGGCGCTCTACATGCGTTCTCCCTCCTTCCTCCCAGGCCGTCTGGACCAGATGCTCAGGTGCCTGCAGACTCCCTTGGACAAACTCTGCCTAACACATTGCCAGCAGCTGACGCAATCAGACCTGACACACCTGTTCCAGTGCCCGAACCTCAGGCAGCTGAAGATCCTGCATCTATTTGGCCTCGGCCTTGAGGATTTCAGTGAGCCCCTCCGAGCTCTGCTGGAGGCAGTGGCATCCACACTCCAGGACCTGGGTCTGGATAAATGTGGGATGGCGGACTCCCAAGTCGAGGCCATCCTGCCTGCCCTGAGCCGCTGCCACCAGCTCAGATTCTTCAGCATCTCTATGAACAACTTCCCCGTGGCCACCATGAAGAAGCTGCTGCGCCACACAACCGGGCTGCGCAGTTTAGAGTTCGAGATGTACCCCATCCCCCTGGAGTGTTACAGGACCCAAGGGACTGTCAACCAGGAGAGACTTGTCCTGATCCAGGCTGAGCTCACGGGGATACTGAGGGAGTTAGGACAGCCCAGGACCATCCAGCTTGCTACCAGGCATCTTAGACATAGGAAGTTTTATGAGTTGGCGTTTTCATGACATGGAGCCCGTGATGTGCCCCTGTAGTGACCCTGCTCACTGGGTGCACCCAGCAAAGGCTTCTTTCTGGGCCTTTGGAAGCTGAAACCTCTGACCGGGGTGCATTATGCAGGGGGCACTCACGTTTCAGGTTCATGCTCAGTGTGAATGGGGAAAGGGAGGGACCCAGCCCGGGTACAGGATTGCAGGGGCAAAGGTTGGGGAGTTTATGGGACCTCAAAGGCAAAGTGTCCTACAATCAGAAACATGAATCTGATTTGCTTGGGGATGGGGATAGATATTTGGCCTCCAGCTGCATGTGTGGGAGTCAATCCTGGGGAGGATGGTTGTAAAGGAATGTTCAGAAATAAAGACAATTTCAAAGGCAAAAAAAAAAAAAACTGTGGTACATTTATTGACAGTATTATGATGTCCTCCATTTCCCCCCATTTGCCTCCTTCCACCCAGCCTCCATGCCACTCCAGGCCCTCACCACATTGTTTTCTGTGTCCATGGGCTATGCATATATGCATATATGTTCCTTGGTTAATCTCTTCCTGTCCCTCTCCTCTGAAATTTGTCAGTCCGTTCCATTCATCCATGCCTCTGGACCTATTTTGTTTATCTGGTTTGTTCATTGGGTTCCACCTTTAAGTAAGATCATGTGATATTTCTCTTTTCTTACTGGCTCATTTCGCTTAGCACAATGCTCTACAGGTCCATACCTGTTGTTCATAAAGGGTAAGAGATCCTTCTTTTTACAGCTGCATAGTATTTCATGGTGTGAAAAATAAATAAATAACTATAAAATAAAATGAAAGGGAGGTCCATTGGGGGAGAAAATGTCAGAAAGAGGCTGTTAGGTACAGACAGCTTTCTCGGGCACTACTAGGGCAGGACTCAGAGCTTTCAGCAGTGGCCAGAGGCTTGAATCCTAGTGCTGACCCCACTCCCATGGCTTGGCTTTCTTTTTATCCCAAGTGCTGAAGTCCAGAGCTACTGAAAAACTGGAACACATCTAGAGGACCAAGTGTTTATTTTTGCTGATATGTACAAATCACCTATTAAAAACCTACTTATTCATTGGACACCATTTTGTGCATAAAACTAAGAAAGTAATAAAAATGGTTTTCTTCAGTCACATCACTCTTGAGTCTCAGAATTTTAATATGTAAAGCTAGAAAGCATGCCCATTGGTCAATACTCAAGTTCCAGTTTGCAATGGAAAATGTACCCGTATATGATCCAGGACATTGTTGAAATAAATGTCTAGGCCCAAGATGGAGCCCATCCTGCAAACCAAGACTTAGATTACTTTTGTGTCTCTGTAAATGCTCCAGTTGACCAGAAACACAGTATATCCAGTCAGCCAGTCCCCAAACACCAAGCCAACTCTGGGCTCTGTACTTATTTCATTACTCCTTCTCGCCCCAAACAAGGTGGGCTATGGCCCCAGCCAATAAGATAGTTCTTGTTTTTATCTTCCTTGTTCTTTATATTTTTATCCTATAAAATTTTCTTGCCTTCAGCCCCATTTTGCAGTTCTCCAAATAAAGACTGTTCACTTCATGAAGTGTTAAGTAAAGTTGGTTTGTATCATCTAGATTGCTTTCTTTCATCATTTTTAACAACATGAAGGTAGAGCCAGATTCCCTAAAATGTATTCTTGGAGTTTTCCAGGAGGTTGGTTTTCTCAAGCTTTAGATTGCTGCAGTATTGACCTCATGGGTTAACAGATGGTTGAGAACCCATGAGTTGAGGGGTAACTGTTCAGTTTGCTTCCACCTGCATTTTCCCCGAGGAGAGTGAGTCTATGTGGGAGGCAGCTGCCCAAGTCTCCCAGACTCCAGAGTGCTGGAGTTCTGAGTGCAGTGAAAGGCCCGCTACAGTGCAAAGAAGACCAGCCCCACACCTTCATGGAAACCACAGCCTGAAGACCTGGAGCTGCTGGTCCCTGGAGAGAGAGCTCCGCAGACAGAGCAGCAGACGGGGCTGCCCCCGTGACAGAGCCAAAGGTACATGTGTGAAGTAGGTTACTGAAGAGCAGTGGTAAACAAAATTTTAACGAGTCTGTGAGCTGATCTCAATAGTGAATTTTGAGGAAAACTGTGACTTATCCGGATTAAAATCTGAATGGAATGCTGTAATATTTCCAGAAACATGAGGCATTGATTCATCACCCGGAGAGGAAAGACTGATTTTAACTTTCATGACGGGAAGAGAGACTGCTACCCCAACCCCACCCTCCTTTCTTAGAATGGCGCCTAGAAAATCTGGCATTGACATAAAAGGCAAACCAAAGAAGAAATGGTGGATGACAGCTAGAGAAAATACTTTGTCAATAAAATCTCAGATGGAGTTCTGGGTCCTAGTCCTCAGGGTACATTTCCAATTCAGCTCAGAGAGTGGAATCAGGGATGTATTAACAGGTTAATGAATACTTGGGAAAAGGAGGCACTTGATCCAGAGCAGTGGCTCCTAATGTGGGGAGCATGCCCACAGGGGGGCAATTTGATTTTTAAGGGGAGCGATTCAAGAATAACTTATTAACAGTGAATTTTTTGCATTTCTTATGGTTCTAGGGGCCTCGTGTATAGTATATAAATATATATTGTGACATATTTATGCATTTCAGTTCTCTATTTTGTATTTTGAAACTTTATTTGCTATTTTTTCTTATCACTTCATATTATTATTATTTTTTAACAATTTCTTAGTGATTTCTTCCTCAGTACTTCAACTGAACTTTCGTTCTTTTATTTTTCTCTTTCATGGATGCCATGTTCTTTGGCAGCTTGTTTAGACCAAGTTAATGGCCTTTTCGGCTTCCTCCATGTGAATAGGAATTCAATTTTTAAATTATAAGAATTATAATTCAAGGGGGGAAGGGGGCATCGGGATTTTAGAGATGCTTAGGTGGGGCATGGCCATAAAAATGTTGGGAACCACTGATCTAGAGAGTCGAGTCTCAACCTGGGTTGCACATTGGAATTCCTGATCCTGGTCTTCACCCTCTCCCCTCGTGCCCCCCACCCTGCCCAGGAATTCTGATCATTAGGCCTGGTGGGAATGATCATTAGGGCAGTGTGGGAATTGGGCTTTTTAATACTCCAGGTGATTCTGCTGGGCAGCCTGGGCTGAGGACCACTGTTGATTGTGACAGCCAGATGAATGGGATCAGAGGTAGGGCTGTTGGATATGCAATTTCTCTATTCCTCATTTCTTCCTGGGTATATTGACAAATAGTAGCTCACATAACTGTCACCAGGTAAGATAGGACGATCTATGTGAAAGCACTCTGAAAATTCGGAAGCACAATGCAATAGTTATGATGCAGAAATCACCCTCTGTCCAAGCCCACTGAGTGAGTTATTGAACCAGGCACCAGCCAGAACACAGAACACACGAGGGCTAACTAGAGGTCTGAATGCATATTGCTTTATGAAATGGATAATTAGGGGAGAATCTTATAAAATATCCTCAAAATCATGTGGACTTTTTCCAAAAGCATGAAAATGAGGTATGTGTCACAGAATGTCCGGGTGTATGAGTGTGCAAGCTGAGGGAAAGAAGAGAGCGGGGAGGGAGGGGAGAGGAGGGAGGAGAAGGGCAGGATTACCTTTGCCCATATGGATTATCCTTCTTCAGGTTAATAAATGCCAAATACAATGTTGAAGGTGTTTTTATTTCCTTCAGAGACCCATTTAAAAATATGTTACTATTGGTTAATGCACAGAACTGATTTTGTTAATATGCGTGTGGATCTAAAGGGTGTCCCAAAATTCACACAAGAAGTAATTTTGATAGAAAACACAAGTTTATAATTAAAAATTGTAAATTTTTTATTGATTCATAAAGTATACAGTATAGGGTTATGTATGGAATAGCATAT